TAAAAATTTTTTTTTTTTTTTTTTTTTTTTTTTTTTTTTTTTTTTTCTTTTGTATGTTAAAAAAATATTGAATTAAAAAAAGATGCATTTTCAAGTGAAAAATATTATATATATATAAATATATATATATATATATATAAATATATATATATAAATATATATAGGTTAATAATTAAAAAAATAATATATAAGGAACATATTTTTTTATGAGAATAAATTAAATGAAATTTATAAATAAAAAGAAATTATGAAATTGTGAAAATTTTTTATTTAAAGAAAGAAAATAATAAAATGTGCAAAACGTAATATATATATAATATTTTTTTTTTTTTTTTTTTTCAAAAAAAGAAATTTTATATAGTATATAATAACAATAATAATAATAATAATACATTTTTAATAAAAAAAATAACCTTAAATTTATTAAAATGAATTAATTTTGAAAAGAGAAAAAAAAAAAAAAAAAAAATGTCATGGTGTATTATAAAACTTAGAAAAATAAATGTTACTAGAAAAGTAGGTTTAATAGAATAATTGCTTATGTTTTATTATTATATAAAAAAAAGAAAATGCTCTTAATATTTTAAAAAAAAATTAATTTTATATAAATACCCCAGAAAAGAGGAAAATTTTAAAAAAATTATAGGACAAAGTAACAAATTGTTCATATAACAATAAAGTAATATGTTTCCATTTAACAAAACAGTACTGTAATTAATAATTAGCATAATTATTATTTTTTTATTTATTATAATTTTCAATGCTTTGGTTTTCCTTATGATTTCTTAGATATATATATTTTATTAATAGTTTGTATTCAATTATAAATGTATATATTTAAATATTAATATTAATATACTTTTTATCCTATTAATTCAATTCTATTATTTTATTTGTTCCATCTTAAGTACTTAATATGATTTATTTTTCCTTGTTTTATTATTTTTTTTTTTTTTTAGGTTTCTCGAAAAATGTTAAAATAGATATTAACCTTTAATGTAGTTAAATTATTAATAAATATATTCTTATATATATATATATATATATATAAATTACATATTTAGGCATATTGGAAGTTTTCTTTCTTAATATTCTACATCATATATATTATTGCAAATATAAAAAAAAAAAAAAAAAAAAAAATTAAAATAAAAAATTGTTTATTCCTTACATAAATTTTAAATAAGAATTATGAATATAACAAAAAAAATATTTAACTAAACAAAGGATTAGAATTTCACTAACTTTTTTTTTAATATATTATCTTTTAAATAGCAAAATTCTAATTTATATATATATATATTTAAAATATAGCAGAAGGAAGTGTCTCTATTTTTATATTAGTATTTAAAAAAATATAAATTAAAAGAGAATTATTATATTTTAATATATAAGTGTGCATTTGAACAAAATTATATTTAGATTTTTTCACATATACAATAGTAGAAGTATTATTATAAATTATATATGTTAGTTGAACACCACATGTTTGATAAAGATGATAATAAAAAAAAAAAAAAAAATGATAAATTAATATAAAATATAATATATAGTAAAACAGTAGAAATAATACACATTATAAAGAAAATTATGTTGATAAATTACATATTATAAAAGTAAAAAAAAAAAATAGAAACAATGTATTTTAAATATTGTAAATCATCAGAATTTCTCCTTGGAATTCAAAATTATTCATTAAATAAAAATGAACAAACAAATAAAAAAAGACGATCATACAACAAAATTAATGAAAAATATTATCTTGAAAATGAATATAATTTAATAGCATGTAAATTTGAAAAAATAAAAAATTTAAATCATCCAAATATATGTAGATATTTAAATTTAAAAAGAAAAAATAATAATTATACTATTTTTTCTGAATATTATTCTATATCATTATATGATATATTAAATGAAGAAAAAATAAATTATACAAAATTTAACTGCTTAAAAAAATTATCAAAAAGTAATAATTTTAAATATTCAAATACTATTAATAATAAAATTATAGATTCTAAGATTTTAAATAAAATTATTTATGAAATATTAAGTGCTGTTCAATATTTGCATGATCAAAAAATTAAATTTTTAAATTTAAATACAAATAATATTTTAATAACACCAAAAGGAAAAGTTAAATTGCATAGTTATTGTATATCTTATTTATTCAACAATCATATCTATCCTAATGAAAAAAATGATTTTTTTAAAAATAAATTAATTAATGAAATTATATCTTCTAAAAAATATCAGAATAAATTAATCGATTATAATATAAAAGATTACCATTTAGAAGAATTTGTAAAGAAGAATGCAGAGTATAATAGAACTAAAAACCAAAACAATAAAGACAACTTTTTATCTATTGAAAATTATTTTAATTATTTTGATTTTACGGATGACATATTATACTATCTTCCACTTTTTATATTTTTAAACATACTTAAAAATGAAAAGATTAGTTTGAAGTATGACTTATATAAACATATTGATATATTCAGTGTAGGTATAATTATACTTCAAATTGTTAATGGTCTACTTAATTTTACTTTTATAATAGAAAATTTTTCTTATTTTATTAATATGAAAAAAATAAATAATTTAAAGGTATACAAAAAAAAAAAAAAAAAAAAAAAAACTTTTTTTAGTGATTCTTTTTTATACATTAAAAAGGGAAAAAGCAATGATAACACCATGGGAAATAATAAAAAAAAAAATTCAAAAAAAAAATTAATAAAATCTCTTCCNAAAAAAAAAAAAAAAAAAAAAAAAAAAAACTTTTTTTAGTGATTCTTTTTTATACATTAAAAAGGGAAAAAGCAATGATAACACCATGGGAAATAATAAAAAAAAAAATTCAAAAAAAAAATTAATAAAATCTCTTCCATATTTTGATTATAGTAACAAAAATATAAAAGAAAGAAAAAGAAATAATTGTAAAAATGATAATAATTATGAGTATAATTATAATGATAATTATTATGATAAAAATTTCAATGAAAAAAAAATGAAGAAAATTTATAATATGATTCATATTTTAAAAAAATTGGTAACAGAAAAAAAAAAAAATATTATAAATAATGTTCCTAAAAAAAATGAATTAACAAATAAAGAAAAAGGTGAAGGAAAAAAAAATCAAATGTTTTTTTTTAAAAGTTATTTTGAAAAAAAAGACATATTAAGTAAAGTTCAGAATATTTTTATACTTTTACTATATATAAAAATTTATTTTATATATATTTATAATCAAAAAAAAGAAAATAATAAAAATGAAATAAGTTTAATAAATATTAATATTTATAACACATTTGAAAAATTATGTAAAGAAAAATTCAAAAATAAAAAAAATCACTATATAAGTATAAGTTATAAAATAATAAAAAGAACAATTGAGAATTTAATAAATTATAAAATTAATGTACATTTTATAAAAATAATTGAAAGTATGTATTCTGAATTTTTTACTATTAGTTTATTAAAAATTAGTTTAAGAAATGTTTTTTTATATGAAAAGAATAATGAAAAAATTTTTTTCATAAATTTTTTACATAAGTGTTTATTATTAAATTTTTCTAAAATTAACATAAGTTCGTTATTATCTCATTATTATTTTTTCTATAATGACAATGTTGTTAAAAATAATAGATTTTCTTCAAATAGTAATAAAAATAGCTATTTAATAATCAATGGCTTAAATCTATCAAATAATAATCATATAAATCTCATGAAAGAAGAAAAAAATAATGAAAATATAAACTCAAATAAAAAAAAATATTGTAAATATGATTATTATAATCCTTACATTACCGATTATATTTTAAGCGTTAAAAACTACAATGAATTAAAAAGTAAATATTATATAAATAAGAAAAATATTTATTATTGGTTTAATTTATTATATAATATTAATTATAATGAAGAATTAATGAATTGCAATTTTTTTCTCAAATCACAAAATATATTAAAAATTCCATTTTTAATTTATAAAAAGAAACAAAAATTTTACCATTTGTCTCTTTTTTCATTTTATAAGCTAAATTTAATAAATAAATACTATGATTTATATAGTGTTTATGAATACTTATCAAAAGAAAAAAAGATTGTAAAAAGAATCAAATTTGAAAAAGAAGATATTAATGTGTGCAAACAAATAAGGGATAATAAAAAGTTATATGAAAGGTATATAAATATAAATTCCTATAAATTATTAAAAAAAAGACATAACATAAAAAAAATAATTAATCAAATGATAACAAAATCTAATAGTAAATTAAAAAGAAATGAAAATAAAACAAAGGAGAAAATAAATAAGGTAAAAGAATCATATGAACAAGTAAAAAATGATACAGAAGTCAGCACTTTATCTGATGAAATTCGATTTTCTAATAATTATAAAAATGAAAAAATAGAACATTTTAATTTTTTTAATATATCTTTTATCTCAAAAAACTCCTGTTTGCTATTCAAAGATTATAATATAAAAACGTTTGGTATACATCTTAATGAATTCTATGATATAATAAAAGATGCATATTTATTTATATCTAACAATAAAAACTTATCATGCAAATGTGTATATAAAAAAAATTCTTTTTTTATTTATGAATATAATCTATATTTAAAATTTCAAGAATTCTTAAAATGTCATCCTCTAAATAACATAGAATTATATCAACAACTTAAAAATGAGTTCCCAATTTGTTTAAGAGATATTATGTACTTAATATTTCTGAATTACAATTACTCAATTTTAATAAAGAAATCAATAGAAAAAAAAGAAAAGATAAAAACTTTGATTAATATAATAAATAAAGAGAATTTTGTGAATATTAATTCATTTAATAAAAATGTTTATTCAAATTATAATGATTCAGAGAATAAAATTTTAAATATAAAAAATTCCATTAAAAAAAAAGATTACCTAAAAAATATAAATAATATAAATGAGAGTAAAAATTCCATAAATGATATGAATAATAACAAAGAATATTTAAATAAAATTGGTATAAATAAGAATACAAGTAGCAAATGTTTCAAAATTTTAAGAAAAAAATTAAAGTGCAATAATGATTTAGTTGGAAGCATAAAATTTCAAAAAAAAATATATGATTTATTATTGTTGATAAAATTTAAATTAGATATTAAAAATAAATATTTAAAATATTTATTAACACCTATAACGTTATTATATTATAATAATATATATTTAGCTTATAAATGTATTAAACAAATTATAAAAATATATTTATTAGAATTATATAAAAATAAATATTATTTTAATGAATATTTTTACATTTTCAATTGTCTTTTGAATTATTATATTCCTGAATTATCAATTTTTTTTTTTAAAAATAATATAAATATAACAAATTTAATACGTAGTTGGGTTTGTTCATTATTTTGTAACTTTTTTGATCTAGAGAATATATATCTGCTTTTAGATAAAATTCTTATCTTACCATCCTCATATATATTTTTTGTTTGTATAAGTATTTTATTATATCTAAAAAAATTTATTATGAATACATGTTGTAATGATTTTTACAAAAAAATATTTTCTTTATCTAATATAGTTGACTTAAATTTTGTTTTGAATAATTCAATAGAAATATTTAACAAAACTCATACTATGTATATTACTTTTCCTTCTTATTCTGAATCTAATGAGGAATTTTTAAATAACAAGGATATTAAAAAATATAATAGTATTAATTATTTATCTTACATAATTAAACATAAATTTTGGTTTAATTATTATGTACACAAAGATACATTTAAAATTTATAAAAAAATTAAGAAAAAAAAAAAAAGTGAAAATATAAAAGATTTTTATAATGGAGAAAATTTAATCAGTGAAAATGTAAGAGATTTTGATAATGGAGAAAATTTAATCCGTGAAAATGTAAGAGATTTTGATAATGGAAAAAATTTAATCAGTGATAATGAATTTTTAATTCATGAAGATTCGCATTTAATAAATAATGAGTTTAATATTATAACTAATAACGTTGGAGCAAATATAAAGTTAAAAAGAAAAAGTTTCAGCACAATGAATGCCGATTTTATAAATAAGAAAACAAAAATAAAATTTTTAAAATTAAAAGGTGAATATATTGAAAAAAAAGACACTAAAAACTATAACAAAATTCTGCGTAATGATAAATGGTCATTAAAGCATAACAATATAAAATCTTTAAAATTAAAATATTATGAATATTTTTTAAAATGTTATAAAGAAAACAAAAAAAATAATTTAAATGAATTTATTTGTCATAACAAAAATGAATTAAAAAATTCTATACAAAAAAAAAATAAAAATAATAATAAAAATAAAAATAAAAATACACTTGATATATACTATGACTTTAAAAATAAAAAATCATTTAAAAATATTGATGCTATTAAATTAAATTGTTTTCCGATTTTACCTTTTTTTTATGCAAAAAATTTATTAAATGATTTACTGTTTGATAATTTTATCTTTGTCGATATGCGCCTACCAGAGTGCTATAATAAGAAACATTTAAAATATTCTATACATATTAATACTTTTTTAACAAATTTTAAAAAAGGATTTTATAATAATTATATTGATGATTATAATGTAAATATTAATTTAAAGACAATTGTTCTAATATTTCATGATTCTGTATTTGATTTTGATTCCATCTATAATTTTCTAAATTTAAAAATAAAATTTATTACCATTTTACACGGGGGCTTCGAGCATGCTTTAAATAAATTGCCATCAAATTATTTTACATAATGAATAAATGTATCAAAAAACAAAAAATTTATTTTTTTTTTTTTTTTTAATTAATGAAATAAATACAAAATATACAATTGTTTTAAATTTGCATAAATTTTTTCTTTTTAATTTTCTGCTTGCTTCCCTTTGTTACAAATTTCCATATTATATTTTTATCTAAAGATGAATACTTCATGTTTTTACATGTGGAAATTATATATATCTCCTTTTTTTTTTTTTTCTTCATAGTATATTTTATTGTTTATTATATTTTTACATTTTTTTTTTTTTTTTTTTTTTTTTTTAGTAGGATACAATAT